AGGATGAACACAACAGTTTTTGTCTTAGAAAAAACAACATCCTGATGATGGCATTGTGGTAATGTCGAAAGTACTCGGAATAAATGAATATGTATCAACATGGTAATTTTCTCTCTTCCTTTTATAAGGAAGAGAGAAAAGCCTGAAGACAGAAGCCTGTCCGTGAATATGAGAGGATCCTATTGAAAATAAGTAAACAAAACTTGTCTAAATTATTCAATGAGACTTGTCTTTATATATATATATATATATATATATATATCAGATCATTGCAAAAGTTCGTGCCCGATTTCGTTGCATCGTTAAGTTGTACGTCAGGCTTTGTTGAAAGTTGACGTTTTGTCCACAAATGAATGCCTTAAAAATAGAGGATAAAAAGTTGCACATTGGCTATATTAAGCTGTATGAATTTCAGAAAGAATGTTGAAACTGTAACAAAAGAAACATTCAGAAAATTTATTTAGATCGTGCTCCAGCTCTCCAGACGATCAAAACGTGATTTGGCAGATTTTATTAGGGTGATTTTAACCTAAACGATCAACCACCCTTCGGTCGACCTTCCGATGTCGATGAAGGCGTTCTGCTTGCCATTCTGGACAATAAACCGAAAATTTCGACGGAAGATATTGCTAAGAGTTTGAAAATCAACATCTCAACTGCCTTTTCGCAATTTGAAGAGACTTGGGTTCAAGAAAAACGACCGAAATGGTATCATTTTTCACCATGACCGCATGTTGCAAAATAGACCTTGCAGAAACTTAAAGAGTTGAAATGGAAAACATCTCCAGCACCCACCAGATTCTTCTGACTTGGTTCCTTCAGATTTTCCTTTGTTCCAGTATCTACAGAACAATTCCAATGACAAAAAAATTGATTCTGTACAGTCAGTTGAAAGCTATCTCATAACCTTCTTCCAACAAAATCACAAAAATTATATCAACAACCTTATAGAGCGATGGGAGACAATTGTCAAAAACAAGTAGTCTGTATACTTGACTAATAAATGTATTTTACTGCGTATGTAAAATTTTCTTTTTCATTTTCTAATTGGGCACGAACATTTGTAATGATCTAATATATATATATATATGTGTGTGTGTGTGTGTGTGTGTGTGTGTGTGTGTGTGTGTGTGTGTGTGTGTGCAAACAAACACATGCAGAATGCATGGCGTTTTGAAAATGTGTCTACACTTTATCAACTTATAAGTTTTCTCTTTCGCCTGTAAATTGGCCTTAGAAAAGGATCTTAAAAGAAGTACATTCTGGTAATAGAAATTTATAAATAAGTGGGACAAAAATGTTAACATGAACGAAGGCTATCGATGTTAACAAACAAACATACATTTTCATTAACAGCCTGTCTGAATGTATTATTATAAATAATCGTGAAAATAAACAGATATGATACTTTGTTAATAATATTAAGTATTTCTGAAACTCCCTAAATTTGAGACGTTGCTTCAGGCCAGAATGACTCGGATATCTTTGTCCCAATCATATAAATGGCATTCTGGTTTTGACTGTCAACTTTATTTCTTCGTGTTAAAAGTAATTGTTAGAATTAAGCAGACAAGATACATTAAGTAATACTACTAATCATTAGTAAAACTCACTAGCTTTTTAACCAATGAAATTTGTAAGCTTAATGTAACATAGCTTCAGTCATTTTCCCACTACGGTAATATAGCTTCCCTGTGTCTTTTCTATAAATATTTTCATGGTAATTGTTCTGGTGAACTTTCCTCTTTGCTACATAGATTTTATGAATTTAAGTGGAAACAAAAAGGAAACTTATACTTAACACCAGGAAGAGACAGATGAAATTTCTGGGGTACATAATAAGGAAAGAGGGCTTGGAAAATCTGTTACTAACAAGACGGATTGAGGGCAAGAAAGACAGAGGAAAACAACGCATAATATACTTGACGAGCTTGAGAAAATGGATGGCGAAACAGGGTTTAGAAATAACGGAAAAACAGAATTTATTTAGAGCTGCAAGAGACAGGAAGTTGTGGAGAGCCATGATCGCCTACGTCCTGTGGAGACATGGCATATAAAGAGAGAGAGAGAGAGAGAGAATAGGCTGGCTACATCATTTTACAGTTGTAACGGCTAGATGTAACCGCAAGTTCTATGCTAACAGTTTCTCCTCTCGCACTTCTTTTTTGTGGCACTCTCTTCCGGTTGCTTGTTTTTCAGTCAATTTTGATCTTCAAAGATTTAAATACAATGCCAATCGTTATCATTTCCCTTCTTAATTCCTATTCTTTTATTGTTCTCTCTCCTTAATAATGTTTTCTTTTCTCATATTGTTCCACACTTAGTAACCTCGCCCCCCCACACACACACACACACCGTACATCTTAGTGACTTTATTGCCTTGCTTGGGGCGAAATGATTAAAAAATGCAAACATTCACTTTTGCAAATCTGTACCTCTGATACGTAAATTAAATTTTTAGGAATCTATAGTACAATAAAATGGTATAACAGTTCCAAATGATATATATAAAATATGAATATATAAAAGTAAATTTGAGGAATGACTAGCAGTCAGTTGCAGCTACTGCAGATTCGGCGAAAGCCATATGTTTTACAATAAAGTTACTGATCATTTTCTAGTAAGTCAAAAATTCAATTTAATTGTTTTAAAATGGTAAGTTAAGATTTCATGTTACTACTTATTTATATGTTAAATAAAAACAAAATTTTAATAAAATTATTCATTTTTGTTCGAGATCATAACATTTTTAATTGCTTACCCTTACTAATTACTAAATATCTAATAATGTGTTTATGCATTTTGGAGTACCCTGTAAATATAGTGTAAATTTATCTACACTAGTTCCACACACATATGCAATATCTTTTGCTATATCAGCATATAATAAAACTTTGGATTAAGATAAAAAGTAGATGATACATACTGTTGTATATACCAGTTACTGCTATATATAACAGATCACTATATAAAAATTTGACCCATTACATCACTTGTGATGTTACAGACTACTGTTGACATAGAAACATGCAATAAATAAATTAAAGTCATTTCGTTGAGACAACAATGTGATTTCCTTTGTCATTAAGTAATCTTTACTCATTACAAGTCATATATAACATATAACATGGAGTCAGATGTATAGCACATTATAAAAAATGGAGATATACTTGTTTGTCTTGGTCGTTTTACAATTTTCCAGGGTTTAATCTTTCATTTCAGTTAAATGAATTAGATTACGTTCGAACTCAAAAACCTCGAAATGTATAATTCAACAAAGAAATTCGTCATAAATTATCTAAAAACAAAAAATTCTTAATTCGACTTTAGGCAGACATAATTTCTTATTACTATAGATGTTATTTTTAGTAGGTACACATGTTTGAGTTGCTATCCCTGCTTTTATTTTATTAAGCAGTCAAATTAATAACAACCGGCTTAAATTGAAAAGGCATACTCAAGAAGAATTGTGCCTCCGACAGGAATCGAACCTGCTAACTTTTTTTTCATCACAGCAACCATGTTTTGGGCCCGAAACTGAAGCTAGAAAATTCGTAGAAGTCCCAACGAGAAACTTGCTTTCCTTAAATAGTTAAATTCAAGCCTTTCTCTATCACCTTGACCGAATTGGTAACGCTTTGGCTCAAAAAGTTGATCTGGGTTTTCGTTTCTCTTATTGGGACTATCCATGTTCATAAACGTCTTGGGTGTTCTTGAAACCTGGTGTTGGCTTCTTTCTGGTCGTTTGGACCTATTTTTCTCCACGTTCATTACGGGTTTCTAGTTTGAATTTGCCAAATATTTCACCGTCTTGTTTCGTAACTACTTTGGAATTCAGGTCATCCCTTGATTATTGCAATCTCCCTCGATTTACATTGAGCCCTGTCGTTGTCGAATGTGCAGTAGTACTTTTCAGTTTCCTCCGTTTTATGTACTGTTGGTGCATATATAATAACAATAGATATATTAAAAGGCTTCCATTTTAGTTTAACTACAACAATCCTATCAGATACGAACATGATTTAGGAAGATGAGTCACTGCCAAACCGAAGTAACGCCTACGATATTCAATCGACTTCATCCACAATCAATTTTATGCTTTTGATGAAACGTAAGTGAAATGTCATTATATAACGTATGAACAGTGTCATTATTTTTCATAATGTTGAGTGCATTTTAACAAGTAGACAGGAAGTATATTTGAATAGAAATTAAAATAAAATGCTTAAATATTTGCACGTTTTATTTAATCGTGGTTTATCCGCCAGCATTAAATCTTCCTTTTTTTTACTTTGAAACTTCATTAAACTTCGTTTACACAAATCGATAGTCACACAAACTTTGTACTATTTTTTTAATTACATGTCCCTCCAAAACATGGACGACTATGTCCTTTTTTTAATGACATGTCCCTTCAAGGCATAGGCGACTATAGCTCTCCACAAATTTCTTTTTTTATTATCTGTGAATTGTCATGATTGTTCTTGCAAAAGATAGTGATTTTCCGTTTCTTTTTCCACTTTTTGAAATTCAAAGTTGCCCTTCACCTAAGCAAAATAGCTTATTCGACCATTTCATTCAACCCATAGCTGGATAATGAAGAAATGTATTCATACCTCTCCAAGGACATTTGTGTGAATTAAACGCAACAGTCGAGACCGGAACTTGAACTCGGCTCAACTAATTCCATTTTCTCTGCTGATAACTGTTAGGCTATCCACATATCCATTCGCTTTGATTACGATCATCATAAACTTTAGCCATATTGCCATCATTTTTATTGACTACTCACCCAACCCGAGCTAATTTGGCAGCAGAGATGGAGATATGTTACTCTTGGTACGCGGGTAGTAGCATGCAAGATTTTCTGATATGTATTATTCCACCTTTGCTAACATTATACGCTGTTGATCTACAAAATTATTTCAGTAAACTACCTTTCCCGCTCAAAGACTTGAGTGGGTGGCACTTTCTACGTTGCAGAACATAACAATGTGCATATGATTGTGTATTTTTTTACATCATATTTCTGTTCTTTCTTCCTATTGGTATTTTCTTTTCTCTTTCGAGCAACATACAGGCACGTTTTTGTCTGAAATCGTATGTACATACTTCTTTATAACAGATATTTCTGGCACATCCACTAGAACATGCCGTCTTTTTTTTATTACGCAAAAGAAAGAAAAAAAAAATTACGCATACGGCATACAGAAATACATCAATACACACCCTTTCTCACGTATGCACGCGCTTTATATCGCATTTAATTTTAGATTTTTACATTTTTCTTTCTATCCTTTTCTCTTCCTATGTATACATTATGTGCGTATTCTGTCGCGCACACATACACATGCACAACACACATACACAAACATACCATGACGCAAAATTTAATTCTCTCACACATAGTGTGTAGGAGTAATCGATGATTTAGTCTTCCTTTTTCTCTCTCTTTCATTTTCTTTCTTTTCTTTCACTCTTTGTTTTTAGCGCTCTCTTTCAAATAAGCATACACATATTTCCTCTCTCTTTCTTTCCTTTCTCTGTTTTCTTTCTTCTCTCTTTCTTTTTACCTCTCTTTTTCAAACGAGTACACTACACACAGACACACACTTCTTATCTCTCTCCTTTCTCTTTCTTTTCTTCCATTATGTCTCTCTCTTTCAAACAAGCACACATATACACACTCCCTTTTTTCTTTCTTTCTTTCTTTCTCGTTGTTTTTACCTCTCTCTTTCAAAGAAGCACACACATACACACTCCTTTTCTCCTTTTTTTCTCTCTTTCTTTTTACTGCTATCTTTCAAACAGGCACACACGTACACACACTACCTTACAAACTTTCATTTTTTACGCTTTCCCCGACTTCATATTCTCCTCTTGTATATTTCTCAAATTTTGTCCTTCCAACTTACTTTTTTTGCCATGTAATCTTTTTTCTCTGTCTTTCTCTCTTTCACACACACACGTGCGAGCGCATGTTCATAGCCACACAAGAACACACGTTCATTCTCCTGTCTTATAGTATATATTACACAGTATACATGCACGCAAGCATAATCTTTCTTTTGCATACTGATTCTTTCGTTAAAAAAATACATACACGTCTAGCAATACACATGACTCTCATTCACACACTCTTTTTTTTCCCCTCGTGTTTTTTTTCTCTTTCTCAAATGCTGTTTCTTTTCCTTTTCTTCTAATTCCCAGACAATAATTGTACTCTTTCACCTATCAAGCTCCCTACCTTTTTTATCACACAACGGAGCTACTTTTTGTATTTCATTCAGCAACAACTAAAATGGATAGCACATGTAACGCGAAAAGAAAACAATGACATAATCAAGATGTTGATATTTCACACTACTACAAATAAAAGGTTAGGAAGGAAACGGCCAATAATACTAGAAACAGCTACTGGACTTGAAAAACCTATTTTCGTGAAAAATTGTTTTAAGAGAATGAATATATAATTTCAATCAAAACCGTATAGGCCGGTCGGTCAACGAATGCCAAATATTTCCTTGTAGGGAAATGGCTATTATTACCATTTATCATTAACATAACCATTCAATAAATAATGTCTCGCTATTCTCTTTGTTGCTACGCATCTACACGCCCGAGGCTTGCGCTGTCTCTTTCTTAAATACTGATACTCTCCAATACTATTTCTAAATATTTTTCTTATGAATTTAGATAATGAAATCCGAAAAGAAAAAGAAAGAGTGAATGTGTATAAAGACTGGATTCATATCATTCTCTCTTTCTCTCCTTAATCTTTCTCTCTTATGTTTTCTTTTCTTTATCCTATTCTTGACTGTTTCTTTCTTTATTCCTTTCTCGCTCACAAAATATCTCCGTCATTTTAACAATCTGATTTAAAATTGAGCGCTTACCGTAGGGCAACAATTAACAATTTTTTCCCATAAGTCATACTGAGTCATTTTTAGCTGTTATTGACTCCGTTTCAAACTGCTAGATTTTTGTTTTATAATCTTCTTTTATTCACTTTTTTTCATTCACTCTACTATTTCTAGAGGATTTTCAAATCTTTTATTTTATTCTCTGATTATATTTCTCATTTTCAAATTTTCCGCTATTTTTTTTTGTTTCTTTTTTCTATTTCTGATTTCATTCTTTCATTTGTTTTCTAGTTAATTCTCTCTCCCCCCACACACACGCGTGCACACACACATACACACACACACACACGCATATATATATATATATATATATATATATATATATATATATATTATTTCTTTTTTCGTTTTGTATATTGGTACCAACAAAATGGAGGCGATTTTTTCCGAAATGAATGAAAAAATCGGTACTCACAATTTAAAAAAAAAATGTCAAAAATCAGGGAATTATCCGATTCAAAAGAAATTTTCCATACTTATTCATTAATGAATGAATCGTATCCTGAATAATAGATTATTTTATTAGAAAACTTTATGGAAATATTTTGTGGGTCTGTTTCATCCTCCTCTTTTCGATAGCTCATGTGTAGTGTACTTTTTAATTTGTGAGAGTGTTCGCGAATTTTTTTTAAAGTTATATAAAGAAGAATCATTGATAAATGTTATTTCAGTAAAAAATGTATGTAATCACAAGTGTGAACATACTGATAATTTGTCTCAAACCTTAACAAAAATAATTCAATAAAACCTAAAAATTACATTTTTTGTAAGTTGGTGCTTCCGTAATTTAATAAAATATATTATTTCATTTCATATTGGACATAAAAATATCTACACTTAAAATTATTTTTTTTAATTATTTGTAATTTTTCCCTACAATTTTGAAATTCACCCTGTTGCTGTTCGTAAGGAGAAATTTTATGAAATAAAGACTTGTTTGAAGAATCGAAAAATGTAAAGTTTAATGCCATTTTCGAGCATAAACCATTTTTAAAAGGATTTTGTTTTCATTTTAGCAACCCTTAAATTATTTTATTGTATAGACATTCAAAGAAATAATTCTGAATTAGCACCTTTAATTCAATATTCATAGTTTATGATAATTGAATAACTTTTAAATTCAGAATAATTAAAAAAACACATATTAGGCGCAATTAAATGACATCAAACAAGTTAGAAAATAATAAAAGAAATGTAAAAGCAAAACTCAAAGTAGTATAAAATAAAATGATTTATTCTATTATAATTTTTATTTTATTTTATACGCTTTTATGAAAGTGTATAAAATAAAGAATATATATTCTTAAACTATTGGTTATATAAAGTTAAAGGTAATTTATTTTTAAACATAAGTGCCAATTTCTGCTGGTGTTCCATATTTCTCTTTTTATCCGCGTACATTTTAAGAAAAGGGTTACATTAGAAAATGGGTTTTGTTACGTAAGATATCATAGAATTATCCTACGTAATAAACCTTATTTTCATTATGCTTTAAGCAAAAAAGTAAACAATACGTTTACAAAATCCAATTAAATAATCCTTAAATTTATTAATTGACCTCGAAACACATCTCTAGACCAAATATTGAATTTTTCAGATTTTAAAAAAAAAGTTTTGTTTATATTTTTCGACTATAATAATGGCATTTCGATGAACACGCCAATGTTTTAAAAATACCTAAAACTTTATTTACATACAGAAATTAATTTTTCCTTAAATACAGATTAGCCTTAGGCTATTACTATCTTTCAAATAAAGCCGAAGTTTAATGTCAAAGAAGACATTAAAATTATCTAAAATGCGTTTTTCAGGGTTTTTATGAAGCCTGTGTCGGTACCTAGAATATATGGGCACGTATATTTTTTATTTCACTATCTTTTATTTTTATTCCTTCTTTATGCTTTTTTTCTGTTTTTCACTATACACGCGTTGTTTCCCTCCATGCTTGCTTTCTTTCTTTCTTTCTTTCTTTCTTTCTTTCTTTCTTTTCATTTCCTTCGTTTTCCCCTCTGTTTTTCTCATCACCTTCTTTCTCTTTTTCTCTATACACGCGTCGTTTCGCTTCATGTTTTCTTTCTTTCTTTCGTTTTCCCTCTGTTTTTCTCATCACCTCCATTACGAAAAAAGAAAACGCTTCAGCCTACACAATGTGATCGTTTTCATCTGCTGGTTGTTATCTGCACACGTCCCTACCATCCAAATATCTAATTCTGGGAGGAGCCCATATACGCACCTTGGATTGAGCCATTGGTTTCCAATCTCAAGCCCCGACCCCGTCAAGATGCAGGCTGCCGTGTTGTTTCTTTTTCAGTTACATTCAAAAAGCCTGAACGTTCACCATTGCAAAGACCGATATAGATTACAAGCTGCAGATATCCATGCATTCTTGACTGTCCATCGTCACGCGCCCCGAGAGTCACGTGTTAATAACGAAAGTCCAGTGTTAGTGCAAATACCAAACTATTTGGCTTTATCACGCTACTAAACATTGTCCCCATCTTCGTCCAAACTTCACCATCTCAATCAATTAGTTTTTAATAATTTTATTAAATAACTGACACTCACCGGACATATTGAAAACAGGAGGAATAGAAGAAAACAGCGAGTAACCTACCTAACGAACTTACGTGAATATATGGCAGAATAGGGACTGGGTGGCAGAAAACGAAATGACAAACATTTCTAAGAGCTACAAAGGATAGGGCGGTGTAGAGAGCCAAGATCGCCCACGTCTTGAAGGGACGTGGAATATAGAAGAAGTGTCTGTCAAGTATAATGGAGAACGCCAGTTTATAAAAAATAAATAATAATAAGCAAGAAACATTTAGGCATGTTTTAAGGCATTGAAAAGAAACAGCCCAACATGCAAATTATAAATTGATGATACCAATTTAAATATCTGGGATGTTTTTCAAACAGAGGACGGAAAGTATGACACTGAAATCTGAAGTTGCATTGGAATAGCATATGTTGCTTTTCAAAAGCCAAGAAAAGTATAAAGAAATACAAAAATTTCATTAGAAACAAAGAAAAGGGTACTGAACTGTTATGTAATATGGCAGTGAATTCTGGACAATCTTCTCATAGATGAAGAAGAGACGAGAAACCACAGAAATGTTGTTCTACGGACAGATGCTGAGAATACTATGGACCGAACATGTGAGCAACGACAAAGTTTTAGGACACTTATACTTAACATGAGGAAGAGACAGTTGAAATTTCAAGGGCACATAATGAGGAAAGAGGGCTTAGAAATTTTGATACTCACATGATTAAAGGCAAGAAACAGAGGGAAACAAGGTATAACCTACCTGGTAAGCTTGAGTGAATAAATGGTGGAGCATGGTTTGGGAGAGATAGCAAAAAGATAAAATTTATTAAGAACTACAAAGGACATGATCGTCAACGTTCTGAATAGACACAGCACATAGAAGAAGATTTTAAAAGAGTTTACAATAAATTTGAAAACTATTTATTTGAGTCGTTCATTGACTCTTGAATCGAATCCAAATTTACAGAGTCAACCCCCACTCTCTCATGTAAGTAATATCTTAGACCATACCGTTCTCTAAGCAGCCACTCCCTGAAAGTAGATCAAATAGTTCAAAAAGAATTCTTCTTTTGTTTTCTTCTTCTTCTTTGTGCCTTGTCCTTTCAGGACGTGGTCAATCATAGCCCTCCACAATTTCAGGTCCTTTGTCGCTCTTAGTAAATTTTGTCTTTTCACTATCTCTCCTAATCCCTATTCTGTCATTCATTTACACAAACACGTTAGGTAGATTATGCATTGCTTTCCTTTGTCCTTCTTGTCTTCAATATATTCTGTGAGTATCAAATTTTCTAAGCCCCCTTTCCTCATTATGTGCCCTAGAAATTTCAACTATCTCTTTCTGATGTTATATATGTTTTCCTTTTTTTCGATTTTCTCTAAAACTTTGCCATTGCTCACAGGTTCAGTCCATGTTATTCTCAGTATCTTTCTGTAGAATCACATTTCTGTTGCATCAAATCATTTCTTCATTTGTGATTATCCCGTATTCACTGCCATATAGGAGGACTGATATCATATAACATTTCAATAATCTTTTCTTTGTTTCTAACG